GGGGTTCGCAGGGAATTTTCGCAACTGATGTTGTCGGCGAGTCGTCCGCCTGGTTATAATTATTCACTCTGATAATATGTATTAATACAATTAATGTAAAATTTATATAATTTTAATGTCAACAGTGACATGCGCCACCGCCGCCACTTGGACCATTGCGTCCTAAGAATATCGCCTCCCGCGCATCCCTCGTCGCCAACGCCTACGGCGACGATCGCGAGCCCGAGGAAGAGTCACAGGTCCCGAAGAGATGGCGCCACTGGTGAACTTTTCGGCCGTACCCGCTTCTGGGCGGCGGTGGCGGCCCTGGTTCGGAGATTAGAGGCGAAGATTAACGGACTGGGACAGCTGGCATCGCCCTTCTGTGTCGGCGGAAGTTCTCTAAGCAAGGAGATCTTCTGCGTCGTGCAGCAGATGTCGGACCTTCACAAGCGCAGGTTACGCGCCCTGGCGTGCTGCCTGAGCTCGGGGCGACGAGTCGATTCCTGCAGCACATAGCTCACTCACAGTCATTCTGCCTGCACATAGCTCACTTCACAGTCATTCCTGCTGCACATAGCTCACTCACAGCTCATTCTCGCTGCACATAGCTCACTCACAGTCTTCCTGCATGCACATAGCTCACTCGCCAGTCATTCCTGCTGACATAGCTCACTCGCAGCTCATTCCTTGCTGCAACATAAGCTCACTTGCAGTCTTCCTGCTGCACATACGCTCACTCACAGTCATTTCCGCTGCACAGTAGCTCACTCACAGTCATTCCTGCTGCACATAGCTCACTCACAGTCATTCCTGCTGCACATATGCCTCCACTGCACAGTCTTCCTGCTTGCCACATAGGCTCACCACCAGTCCTTCCTGCAGCACATAGCCTCACTCACAGTCATTCCTTGCTGCACATAGCTCACTCACAGGTCATTTGCTGCCTGCCACATTAGCTCACTCACAAGTCCATTGCTGCTGCACATAGCTCACTCGCAGTCAATTTCCTGCTGCACATAGCTCACTCACAGTCATTGCCTGCTTGCTCACATAGCTCACTCGCAGTCATTCCTGCTGCACATAGCTCACTCGCAGTCATTCCTGCTGCACATGCATGCATGTGTTATCTTTGCTGCACACATACATGTATTCTAACCATCTTTGCTGCACACATACATGTATTCTAACCATCTTTTGCTGCACACATACATGTATTCTAACCCATCTTTGCTGCACACACACATACATGTATTCTAACATCTTTGCTGCACACACACATACATATATTTATGTCTAACGACTTGTCATCATTTCTGTTGGTTTACCTATGTATACATTATTATTATTATATATTATTGTTATTATACTTCTCTATGTATAATTTCATGTTTGCAACCATTTATTTGCAGAATCTAGAGATCAAGCAGAGGGCGCTGATGACAACTGCGCAACTCGAGGGAAATGGAGAAGCACGAACGTGATGTAAGCATCATAGGGGGCGCCACTGGCAAGTCGTCCATCTCATGGTTTGCCGCAGATGTTTTTAAAATTTTAAAATAAATCACATAGAGGAGTTTTACACATAAATCACAATTGAGTAGTCTGATGGATTGGTTGCTGTGTTGTGAATCCAGCTGCTTTCGTTAATGATTAACTAATTAACTAATTCTAACTAGGCGTTAGTCTGCACAGAGTCATGGCTCCATAATTCTCGTAGAGCTGCTTATAGAGGGTTACTCGACTTGGACTAAAAATAGCATATTATTACATCCCGTGCCGCCTGGCCATAGCGGTTGCAATAGACGTGAACCGTGTGGTGTGTAATCTAGTAGCTGCGTACTCGCTCCCACTTCTCGGCTTAGTTACTCGATGGGTCCATGCATCCATCGAGTAACTAAGGCGAGAGGTGGGACGCGGTACCAGTCTAATGTATAATCTTGCCGATCTGCACAATCACCGATTTATATTGCTATCTTATAGTGTTGTTATTGCAATAGATATTAGTAGAGGGGGATCGCGCATTTTTTTCGGGAAGGTTTATCAGCGTGGGTTTGGGTGCTGCCGCTAGAGTTAATGAGACTTACACAGGTCAGGTCTTCGCAGCGGCTTATTAGCCCGTCGCCCGAGATTGCACGCAACACATATGTTTCATGGGACTTGAGTTTGTTTACATCGCGACTCCGCGAGTGTCAGAAATTTCACCGATTTTACTGCATATTAGCTATCAAACGCAGCGTTTATAACATCTGGTGGTGATGCACATTTGCCAACTGTCTGAAGTGTACGTAGTATGGACAAATACTTTGATTTCACTAGACAACTAGCCAAACATCTCAAGAAAAAATATGCAGCTGCATTGCAGGAAATCGAACACCCGGAGTTATCGGCACGATGTTATCGCACTCCCAAGTCTCCTGATTATACCATCTCTCTATCGCTGCATGAGTCCACGATGGAAGATAAATGGGACAGGCATCATGTACAGCACATGTAATTGTAAAGCCGGGCTTGCTTGAATTCTGTTCACAATGTTGCCCGGTGCTATTTATATGAAAGCAGTATTGCATTGCACGTGCAAGAAGAAAATCACCACACCCCCAATCAAACTGCCTAAGCTGGATGCCGGCTATATAGCAATTATGATATGATAAGTGTAAATGGAGCGGCGGTACGAATGCCGCACGTAGCGTGCCCGCGTGCTATACACCTGTGTGATTGCAGCAGCGAGCAATCCCCCTTGACCGCCATTTACAGGTAAATATATCGGCAATCTAGGCGAAAGGCGAATAGAGAAAACATTAGACAAATTGGAGTACAATACAATTTTTGTTTATTCAGCCATTGCTATTTTTATGTTGAAAATGCTCCAGGTGTCGTGTGGTTCGACCTTGTCTCATCGTCACTTGAAATTGTTTAGCTCATCTGACGTCAGTCAGAATTCAGAACTTGTAAAGATCGCCCATGATTGTCCGTGGTCGTGCGTGGAGTCAACAGTTCGGGGCACAAATCTTAATCGCTCGAACGTACGGTCACGATATTTGGGATCGTGGGGGAGTTAATCCGAATAACGAGTCTGGGATGTCGAAGCTGGGGGTCAAAGGGTCACATCAAAGGTCAAGAGATTGTAAAAGAGGGGGAACATTCCCTCGCTTAACTTAAGGTTATAGCGGAGGCATGCAGCAATTGCCGCCACAAAAGTCTTAACGGCTGCTCGACTAGGCTCTAATAGCTCGGATGTATAGCATCATGGTTAGAAAAGTCATCACTGTGTCGAAAATTCGGAGGATCAACGTCCAAAGGTCCCAAATGGGGCACAGGGCCAGAATTTTTAGACATTTTCTGAGGACCCCATGCGTCTGACCCCGGCCGTTTCCGCCCGCGCTCGGCCAATGGGTGTTTGAGAGCAAGCTGCCTTTTGTTCGCTCTTCCAGTGTGGGAATGATGGACACTTAGCAGTATATTAGCTGTATAACTACATAGCGATGTATAGATTTAGATTTCAGAGAAATGATTTCATATAGGTTTTTAGTATTACATAGCCAACTTTGTTTTAATGTCATTTGACCTCATAGTTAGTGATATATCTCACATGTACATTGTTATTATTCGCTCATTTTATTGTTCAGTCGGTTGTGATATTAATGTGCTGCGCCTTTAATCATTTTATGTAACAAGGGGCAATATAAATAAATATAATAATAATAATAATAATAGTAATACATAATAGGAAGAGGTATCGATACACAGTAAATTGTGCGGACAAGTTGGATGTACAGCGCTAGTTCTCATGTCATTTCTATTGGATTTCACGTAATAAACAAGTGCCGCAGAGCGACAGGGCTCATCTGGTGTCTGGTGTTCTGCTGATAAATTCACTTGTGCATAGCAAGACGTCCTATACATACGTTCATTTCTAACCCAAAAAAACAACACTTCAAACTAGTGTAATAAAATTCCGATAGATGGCGGGCTGCTATCAAAGGCATCGTTGCATCGGTCAGCCAAAGCATTGCAGCAATGGCAGCTGTCAGTGTGACGACGGATTGCAAAAAGCAGGAGCGAATAATTAGTATTACCATATTATTACTATACATAACGTGCGTTCTATGGTGTCAGGTAATAAGGTACATTAAACCCCTTGCGAGGCACATCTGGCTCGTTAAAAAATAGCTCAATGGTTGATACAACCAGAGCAGCTCGTGCAAGATTACAATTTACAGCCATACGATAGCAAATATCTGTAAACTAATTTCAGTACAAGATAGGCCAGTGATTAGTGGACCGAATAAGCTCAAGAACGTACACACTTGCGTCTATATTGGTGCAAAAATTTGATGAGAAAATTCAGTCTGGGAAATCCGAAGCCTCACTCCTGGGTAACTATTTGAGTGCTAGTGACTGTATTCCAACTATTCATAATGTACACTACAGAATCTCATATATAAGTCATCTCATTATCTCCTAAGTAAGCATTGTCAAGTAAGAGTTATTGTGGAATTTCACTGTAAAATGGGCTTTCCACAACCACAGTACTCGCCAACGCAGTTGAGAAACAAATCAATGTTAACCCTCCTCTTGAGGGTCAAAAGGTTATCGCGACACTTACTCTTCGCATGTCAGCAGAAAGTACATTTCATGAACCTTTCAATAAAGCCATAAAAATGCTAGTCACCGCTGAAACAAAAAGTTTTTCAATGCGTCCGTCAGACCATGTCATCAGAAAATGTCTAAAATCTGCCCTGTGCCCCATTGACCTTTGACCTGTGACCTCCATTTCGGCACAGTGATGGCTTTTCCTACCATGTATGCTATACACCGACTATCACGAGCCTAGGTCGAGCCATTTAGATTTGTGCCGCAATTCTGCATTTCCTCCCTATACTTAAACTGTCTACGTCACGAATTTCGAGCACCAGCAAGTAGTATATTTGTGTGTTATTTGTACAAAATAAAATGTATGAAAATACAATTAGAGTTTTTATTTACTTTTCATGCTCATATAACCTTCTTTATACTCCTAATTTGCCGTGCCATCCGATGTAACAAACGTTCGATTCAACAACAACGCGCATGAATTCGAAAATTATTGTGTGGCGCCAGACGCAGCTAGCCGATATACGCAACATTTGCGGTAAACGAGGCATTGGCAAAATTATGTGGCAGCCAATGAAAATTCCTTTTAAACGTTAAGCGGGAGTTTCTCATATAATCTTTCTTTCTCTTTTTCTCTTTCGTTTTCTTCGATGCACTGGTCTGCCCACCATTGTTTATCGTTATTTATCTAGCTTCTGATCGATCCTGAAGGGGATGTCACAAAACATTTTGTTGCAGAAAATTAAAAAAAAACACAAATAAACATTTCGCAGTTTTAATAATAATTTTCAAACATAATACACATGAACATATATTATTTATTTTTCCTATATTGTATATTCTATATAGCCAACACAAATCAAACAGAAACTGTTTGGGCACCACTTTGTGCACCATACACAAATCACGATGACATCGACCACAGCAACCAGTGCAGCAACCGAGTGACGCCAGTATTGTGTAAATAGTGTTAGGTAACACTAATTCAAATCGTCAAGATTTTTGCAAATTTAACCAAACGTAAAAACATTATATCAGTGAGGCTTTAGGATATATTTAGTAACGTTAGTACTAACTTTTTGATGTAAAAAAATTACAAAAATAAGGTTTCAACTATAAATTTCAGGAAATTCGTGACGTAGACACTTTAAGTTAAGGAGGGAATGTTCCCCCTTCTTTTACACCTCTTGACCTTTGACCTTTGACCCCCAGCTTCGACATCCAACTCGTTTCGGATTACCCCCACGTCTCGAATATCGTGACCGTACGTCGAGCCGTTTAGATTTGTGCCCAACTGTTGACGGACGGACCACGCACACGCACTGATCATGCGATTCTACAAGCTGCATCTGACTATGTCAGATGAGCTATCATAGGTAATTGGGCATGGAAATGTTGAATTTCTTGTGTTTCGAGCAAGTCATACTCTCCTATTATTATTCACTCCTGATATTATTGTTATTTATTACGTATTGAACATTAATGCCATCACCTGTGCAGTGACAAACACGGAGAGGGGAGGGTCATAGGGAGAGAGAGAAAATGAAAGGAAAGGGTTAGGAACCACACAAAACTTTGTATCATGTGTTCGTTCTTCTTGTGAGGAGAGAGCGAATCCGGCATCCGCTCACCACTCGTCTTCTCTCCTTCCGACATGTGCTGTGATAACTGCTGCGGTCCCACAGGTACGAACCTACAGCCCAGAGAACACAACATCAGCTGCCATGCCACCCATACACGCAGTCTATAACATACTGCGGTCCCACAGGTACGAACCTACAGCACAGAGAACACAACATTAGCTGCAAGACAACATTCATAACAACAAAATACACTAACACTGGCTGCTTTCCTATAGCTAGTGGCTCACTACACACTCAACCCTAACTGCACTATAGCATGCAGATGATTGGTGACACACAACCATAACTGCTTGCTACAAAGGACGGGCTACAGCACACACAACTAACATATGCGCACCCAGCACGGAAGTTGTCCTTGCGTTGGTTCAGTGTCTTTGCCCACTTCTCCATGTCCTTCACAATCCTCTTAGCCGTCTTCACTCTCTCCTTCTTCTCCTTCTCCTTGTCCTTCTTCGTCTCGCTGCTGTCAGCGTCGGTGGCACCTGCCTCCTGGTCGTTGCTCGGTGCGGGAACGTATGTGTGGTTCTCACCGTCCCAGTATAGGAAGAGTTGTGTCTGTGCATTGTAGTAGTACTGCAACAATGCAACACGCGCGCGGCTTACACTTGACATCACGAGCAATCCAACTACAGATTGAATAGAGTCACTCTTGAGACAGATTAACACGAGCCCCTGGTACAGCTGTGAGACGACATGCGTGTAGGTGCTGAACTGAAGAGTGACTCACCCCAGTGTTTGCGTCGTAGTAGAGAGTGGTCTGTGGATCGTAATAGTATCCAGACGTCTCGTCGTACTGATATGTGGAAACGTCCGGAACGGGATAGTTGTCGCCTTCCTGTGACTTCTTCTCCTGCTGCTGCTGCTGTTGCTGTTGTTGCTGTTGTTGTTGCTGCTGCTGGAGCTGTTGCTGTTGTTGTTGTTGTTGCTGCTGCTGCTGCTGTTGCTGCTGCTTCTCATGCTGCAAGCGTAGAGCATCCTGCCTCACGTGCTCCTGCATCTTCTTAGGATCCTGCAGAACCCAAACACACAGTGAGACCAACGTATTAGCCAGCGAGCCGTGCAGCCATGATTTGCACGGTCAGTTTTGAAACTGCACGGCCAACAAAATTAAAAAATTGTCCGTAAATATTTCCTGGGGAAGGCCCCCCGTACCCCTCATACTCTCCCCCCTGTGAACGCCTACGGCGTTCACGATGACCGCTACGGCGGTCTTGGCTGAGACACAAAAAAATTGCACTTCCACAATACTCATTCCTGGCTGATACCCTGAGTGAGACACACAGCTATGCCTTAGCTTGCCTAGCTAACCCCATACATTACCTGTGACTGCTTTACCTGGTCATCATGCTGACGTTTCTTCCACTCAGCTGCCTGGTGGGCCAGCCTCTCCTCTGGCTTCATGTCTGCGAGCTTCTGCTGTTTCTGCATCTGCTCCAGCACCTGTTTCTGCAGCTTTGCTTGCTGCTCCTGGTAATGTTTGGCGGCCTGCGCTTGCTGGATGGCAGTCTGAGCGACAGCAGCCGCCGCGTTTGTCGTGTCCGCTGCAACGCACAACTACGCTACAACAACTACAACTACAACAACTACGCTACAACAACTACAACTACAACAACTACGCTACAACAACTATAACTACAACAACTACGCTACAACAACTACAACTACAACAACTACAACTACAACTACAACAACTACAACTACAACAATTACAACTACAACAACTACAACTACAACAACTACAACTACAACAACTAACAACTAAACAACTACAACTACAACTAAAAACACAACTACAACAACTACAACTACAACAAACACTGTTATATATACTCGCTTTATCCCCGGACAATACCTACATGGAATGTCCCACCCACCTACTACACGCTACTGATGTGGCTTCATTTAAAAAACTTAATTAACAGAAGTAGAGAAAACGTGAAGAAAATTTAGGACATCAAGCGATGCATGTTGACCTGTACGTCAATAGCCGCACCAGGCGATTAGTACAGTACAGACAAGACAAGACAAGGCAAACGACGACGGAGGGATAACGTGCGTACGCCGACCCCACTCCGCCCCCACCACCTAGGACCAACTCAGCTAGATATCCGGCCGGGTATCGTCTTATTGACGGACTGCCGGCACGTAAGAAGGTCGAGCATTTGAAGAACAAGACAATCAAAATTTTAGAGAAAGCGTTCGTCTGAAATTTCGCCCCCGAAAAAATATTATTATCTGCCTCCAGTTTAAAAATCCAGCAACATAGAAAATGGCATCGAATTTCCACCAACATTCCAGCTTACCCTGGGTGAAGGTGTGTGAGCCAGGAAGAGGCGTGGCCTGCATCACTGGCTCGCCACCAGGAGGCGGCACTGCTGCTTCGTAGCCGTACTGCTGGTAGAAAGCAGTGTCGTCGTAGGCAGCAGCAGCAGCAGCTTCATCGTAGTAGCCCTGCTGTGTGTAGTCACCGCTGAACTCCATTGCATCCCAGCCACCGGCCCCGCCCGCCTGCACAGACACACAGATGCCGCACACGTGAGCACAGAGCGCAGGATACCGCACGCATGAGCGCAGGTAGCGACCGCGAACCAGCAATAACCCCATAACCCAATAACGCTGCCACCTATGCATGCGTGCTGCCACCTATGCGTGCGTGCTGCCACCTATGCATGCGTGCTGCCACCTATGCGAGCGCGCTCCCACCTGTGTGCGCGTGCTGCCACCTATGGGCGCGCTGCCACCCACCTGGTGAGCGAGCTCGTTCTTGGATCGCGAGCGCGGACGTCCGTTCTTGGAGAAGTCGATGTTGGCGAGGGATCGGCGCGCGTATGAGATGAGCACCTGTCGTGAGTCGATCTCGAACACGGGTTGCTGGTCAGACAGTCGCTGCAGCAGCTCGTCCGCATCCTGCGCCGACGCCATCTGTACGTAGCAGAAACCTCGCGACGTGTTTGTCAGCGTGTCCTGCAGAGGGCGACACCGGTCAGCGACCAACCAGTGCACTCGCGTGCACAAACTAACGTACACGCGCACGCACACACACCACTCAGACAACGAGCAGAGATTCTATCTACATAGCGAAGACCGGATATGTGAAAGGAAATATGAGAAAGAGGGTTAAACGTTGGAGGTAGAGAAGGGACGATATTAAATATGAGAAAGAGGGTTAAACGTAGGAGGTAGAGAAGGGACAATATTCCAAGGCGATTTTCACGAGGCGAAACAATGTGAGAAAGAATAATAGATGACCACCTAGCATTGATGCTCCTGAAGAAGCAGCAGAGGATAAAGCAGCAGAGAGTGACGAAGACAATCGGGACGAGAGTGAAGCAGGGAAAAAATGTCGAGACGTGTGGCAGTACGTGGTCATTAGCGGTGTACCTTGGCAATGTGAATGCGTTGGAGAGTAAGAGAGGTGACCTGCTCCAATGCTGTGACAATCTTATCCTCTGTCGTGAGAGCATCCAGTCCCCGGAACAACAATGCTGCCACACATAAGTAAAGGAGTGAACCTCAGCATCCATACCAACATTAATTAGCATGGTGAGAAACAATGGTCGACCCATCGAGTAAAGTGATAGCAATTACTCCGCCAGAAATGATGTGTAAATAAATAACAAGTATTTCAACACGAAGACAAGTATCAAACAGATAATACGCCATATATACGGCTTGTTGTTCAACGATGATGGTGGTATGGGTGTAACATGAGTGGTGTTATAGGGTGTAACAGTGAGTGGTGTAATGAGGGGGTAGTAAACAATCGAGTGGTGTATGGGGTGTAACAGTGAGCTGTGTATAGGTGTAACAGTGTAGGGTGTATAGTGGTGTAACAGTGATGGTGTATAGGGGGTGTAAGCAATGAGTGGTGTATAGGGGTGTAAGCAGTGAGTGTTGTATAGGGTGTGAACATGAGGTGGTGTATAGGGGTGTAACAGTTTGTGGTGAATAGGGGTGTAACAATGATTGCGTGTATAGGGGTGGTATACAGTGAGTGGGTGTATAGGGGGGTAACCAGTGAGTGATGATAGGGGTTGTAAACACTGAAGTGGTGTCTAGGGGTGTAACAATGATGGTGTAAGGGTGTAACAGTGAGTTGGTGTATAGGGGTGTAACATGAGTGGGTATAGGGGTGTAACGAGTGAATGGTGTAATAGGGGGGTGAACGTGAGTGGTGTATAGGGGGTGTGAACAAGAGTGGCTGTAGGGTGTACTACAGTGAGTGTGTAATAGGGGGTGTAAGCAGTGAGTGGTGTATAGGGTGTAACAGTGAGGTGTATTAGGGGGTAACAGTGAGTGGTGGTATAGGGGGTGTAACAGGAGTGGTGTATAGGGTGTAAACATGAGTGGGTATAGGTGTACAGTGAGTGTGTATAGGGTGTAACAATGAAGTGGGTATAGGTTAACAGTGAGTGTGTATAGGCGTGTAACAGTGGTGGTGTATTAGGGCGTGTAACAATGAAGTGGCTGTATAGGCGTGTTAAACGAATGACTGGTGTATAGGGGTTTTAACAGTGAGTAGTGTATAGGGCGTGTAACAGTGAGTGGCTGGTATAGGGGGTGTAACAATCGAGTGGTGTTATAGGGGGTTTAACAGTGAGTGGTGTATATGGTGTAACGTGAGTGGTGTATAGGGGGTGTACACATTGAGTGGTTGTATAGGGTGTAACAGTGAGTGTGTAGGTTAGGGGGTTGTAACAAGATGGGTGTATAAGGGTGTAAACTAGTGAGTGGTGTAAATAGGGTGTAACAATGACTGTGTATAGGGGTGTAACAGTGAGTGGTGTATAGGGTGTAACGTGAGTGGTGTATAGGGTTAAAGTGAGGTGTATAGGGGTGTAACAGTGAGTGGTGTATAGGGCGTGTAACAGTGAGTGGTGTAATAGGTGGGTGTAATCAAGAGTGGGTGTACCTAGGGTGTAACAGTGATGTGTTGTATAGTGGTGTTAACAATTGAGTGTGTATAGGGGTGTAACAGTGAGTGGTGTATAGGCGTGTGAACATGAGTGGTGTATAGGGGTGTAAACAGTGATGTGTATAGGTGTAACATTGATGGTATAGGGTGTAACAATTGAGTGTGTATAAAGGGGGTGTAAAGTGAGTGTGTAATAGGGTGTAACAAATTGAGTGCGTGTATAGGGGTGAACAGTGAGTGTGTAATAGGTGTAACAGTGAGTGGTGTATAGCGGGGTGTAACAATGAGTTGGTGGTATAGGGTTAACAATGATGGTGTTATTAGGGGTGTAACAGTGAGTGGTGTATAGGTGTAACAATGAGTGGGGTATAGGGGGTAACAGTGAGTTGGTATAGGGGGTGTAACAGTGATGGTG